ACAAAGCCAGAAATAAGTATTTTAATAGAGCTTCATGTGAGAAATATAGAGAGATTACATTTATACATTTTTGTTCTTTTGAAATAGAAATATTTTTTAATTGAAAGAACCAAAGCTAGAAATGTACATTATATTAAACAATTAAATAACTGTTTGCAATGAGATGACCTTTTATTTTGCAAAAGTTCATTCTCATTCCTGTAAATATAGAGAAGCACATGGAAAAATAACTGCAGCCTGCACTAGCTTTGTTTATCTTAGACAAGACTTAACAAGTATGCAAGATCTGCCATGGTATGTTGCATGGAAAATGCCCTAAGGATATGGAGTTTGACGCAAATATAGAGTAGTTATAATGAGGTGATAGACTTTAATGACTCAGGAAAACAATAACTTTATAGTCCTTTTTTTTTTTTTATGGTGTAACAGAAGGAGGGAGAAAGAGTCTGGTGGATTATTGCTGAGAGCTCACAGTCAGTTCAGCAACCTCTGCAATGTTCAACTTTTCTGTTGTCCATCTTTTCTATTACAACAGGGAAGTGTTTTGAATACCCATCCTGCCTTATAACAAAGAAAAGAAGGATGCCATGTCATCTAAGAAAATCCAGCCTCAAAAATCCATTTTCCACTATTAGAAACAGCCACTTCATCCAGTCACCCTTCTGATCTTGTTTCTGTTTCCGTTTTCACTATCTTCATCGTGTCAAGCAGGTATTAGTGAAACAGAATTAAGGAATTCAGAGTCTTATTTCTGGAGCCATTGCTTGCCCTACTTAACCTACACGGCTGCCCTGCCCAGCTGGAGGCTCTACTTCCAGACGGCTTCGGCCAGGACAAGAAGTAGGACAGGCCAGAGAGAGACAGAGAACACTTCCGTGGTTGTTAGAGCACGTGGAAGGGAATTGAACATGTTGGAAGGACTGGGAGGAGGACTGAGGCAGTCAAGCTGATCAGTTCATGAGTTTGCTCTTGCTTTCCATGGCCTCAGTTCCTGAAATGAGTTTTGACACAGTTGATTAACAGCTGGTGAACTAATGATTGATACAGAGTCTTGAAGGAACACCATAGTGCCCAATAAAATCCCTGTCAGTGCTTTTAAAGGGAAAACAACATTAAAAGAATGGCACAATACAGCAGTCTTTTTGAGTTGTACGTGCCATAGGTAGTAATCCCAAAACTAGAAGTTCTATGTCCAAATTAATACATGGTGGGTGATGCTTACCCACCTCCTTGAAGCAGATCTGCAGACTTTCCGTTAGAAATTTGTGTCTGTGTGAGAAAGACATCAAATGGTATGAATGAAAGAGAATCTTCCTAGGGACCATACAGAAATAAATCAGAAATCTAAGTGATTTCTGTTTCAAAACTGCTAGGCCTGAATCCTTTTGTCCCTCCTCATTTTCTGCTAGTGCTTGTCAGTGAAAATAAGAGAAATGGATGCTGGAATTAAGGCTGCAGCAGTATACGAGAAGCTACTACTGAGCTGTTGCTGTTATTTCACAGAGCACCAATATACCCCATGTAGGTTTGCCATGTTCTAGGATCTGTCCTTTATCCCAGTCCTTGCCCACGTGGGCCCTATGCAGGATCCATTGATTTGATGGCTATTAATAACCTCCTGCCACCCAGGAGAAGCAAAAGGGGGAAGTAATTGGACCTTCAAGTTACTCTCATGTCTGTAAGTAGGTTGGCTGGAGTAAATTGCTATTCATCTGTATTCTGGAGACTTGGAAAAAGATTTATCTTTTGAAGTTTTCTTTTTTTTTCTTTTTTTTTTGTCTTTAAGCAAAGTATTCCATCACTCACTGTGTTAATCTACAGAAAATAGGAAATCACTGCCTACTGCAGAGAAACCTTGGTTTTATTTAGCTTGTTTTATCAGTGAACCCACAGGAGAATTTTCATAGCTGACTTCTACTGTTCTTATTTGTTTCCTCTTGCTCTATTTCACTATCTTAAACCTCCAAGTGGTTGGTCAATTAATGTGACAGGAACCCCGTAGGTTACGTTTGTTCATGGTAGACATGTCTTCTTTCATTAGTCCCGATCTTAACAGCTGCAGAGTTTTAATGTCGTAGCCACTGAATAACATGATGTTTGTAACAGAATGCTAAAACAATAAAAGTGGTGGGGCAGGAGAGGGAGGATGCTCATGTTGCCACACTGGAATAAAAGCTAAAGAAGGAAATCTTGAATTTTGAAAAATTCAGATTTTCATCTGTTTCACTCTTTTTTTTTTTTTCCCCAGATCTTATTCATTTTTGAGTCTCCATTATTTCCCTGTCTCCTGTAATTGCAGAGAGCTGAGCCTTGACTGTTTTATTATTCATGTTGGATGTTCTAGCTAAAGGTTTTGCTGTCACTCTGAGGAATTGAAAGACTTCACACACATTTAAATATTTTGAAAACAAAATCACTAGACTTAAATTTAACAGTTTGACTATCAGCAGTGATATATGAAAATTATCTTTTATTAGCTAGGTTTAAGATTGTTCTTTAAGATTTCCTCTTAACTCTCTTTTTTTTGAGTAGTTTTTATTTTTTACTGGTATTTACCAACCTTTCTTTGAACCTTATTAGACAGTTTATCACCCTAAATTAATAGGCTTGCCTATTAAAAATATTTGCATTACTGCCTTGACAACATCAATTATTCTTTCTGTTGCAGGTTAATTAATAAGAGATTGCATCTTGCTCATTCCATCTTGTAGGGAACTGTTTCACAGAATTACCCAGCTAAGCCGATGCCTGACAGTTTTAATCCCAAGTGCCTAATATTTTTCAGTGATATTCAATTCTAGCAATCTGATATGGCTATTAAATATTGAAGGACAAAATTAATGATACATTTATATAATTGTGCATAATTGCACTATCTATCTTTGCAGAACTTTTTCTAGGAGCTGCATAAACAAGAATTTTTCAAAATAATGTTGGAAATTAGGATACATTTTTGAAATGTACCGATCAATTTTTTAAAATACATCATAGCACATCAAATCTGAGTAAGCAATAATTACAGTGAACTGCTTAACATCATCCTAAATTTACAAGTTAACCGCATAGGCACATGGCTAATTCATGATAAAAAGTAAGCATTCTTTAAAGTTATCAGGAATGTTACTTAACGAGATTCTTTTTATTGCATCAACACATTTTAAGCAGCCTAAAAAAACAAGAAAGTACACGAATTAGAATGCAACAAAAAGCCTAATCTTTCTCCAGTTGAAGTTAATGGGAGTTCTGCTTTGAATTTGAATTGAAGTTGAATTTATTGGAAATAGGATTAGGCCAAAATGTATATAGTCTTCTTGCAAATTTGTTTTTAGGAAGTTTAATTATAAACAGGATAAAATTATAGGAAATTACCCTTCATGACAGTACAAGATATTTGTTTGTGTGTACGATTATGGTTATTAAAGCTAGAAAGCATATCCATTGCTTTGTACTTTCTCCTTGCAGTATATAATTGAGAGCTCTGCCCAATCCATATTTAAATCATTTAAACGATGAAAGTTCTGCTATTTATCCTAGTCTGCAGTAAACTCTTCTACTAGACTGTTTCCTATGTAATTAAGCCTAGATTTTCCTGTGATTTTTTTTTCCAGATGACATTCTAAAGATACATTATTAAAGTGTAATTATCAAGAGTGTTTTTGCACAGGCTTTTGGAAGATTTCAGATAGAGTCCCTTTGAACTCAGAGCACAGGAAGCCTTCATCCCATCAACATTTCACTTACGAGCCCAAGTCCATAGCAACAATTGTCAGAGCTTGCTCCATTCAGTGAACTCTTCACACCGAAGGATCTTACATTTTGCAGGCACTTAGGGTTTTGACATTATGGTCCCTTGCACAGCTAATAAATGATTTAGATGGGCATAAGTTAGAATTTCTATTGAGGGAAGATTTTTGCATCTCTCCCCCTTAGACTTTTATTTCTAAACCCTGTGATGGAACTGATCTTTCTGAAAATTAGCCCTCAGAAAAATGGGGCAAGGGAGAATTTCATTTTGAATACAGTTCAGTTTCCCAGTTTTCTTCCCTCAGAGTCATATTGATACTTTTGTGAATTTCCAGGAGAAGATGACACCAAGTTTTGAAAGGCATTAACAAGAAGATAGATGCTGCTTAAGGGACTTCCACAGTGAACACCTTTACATCCCTAAAAACAGATTAATAGAAAAAACTAAAATGTCACAATTTTATGGTGCCCTATAACGATTCTCCAAGTTATTGAGGCACTTTGGATTGGGTCCTAAGGAAATGCCTTAGCCAGGCAAAACCTAGCCTAGATGTTGTTACACATGGTCAAATGTGACTCTAGTAAAAATTCTTCAAAACCCGCTTGGACGCAGTCCTGTGCCACGTGCTCTTGGTGACCCTGCGTGTGCAGGGGGTTGGACTAGATGATCTCTAGAGGTCCCTTCCAACCTTGAGCTTTCTGTGATTCTAAGAAGTTGAAATAAATATTTGGAGGCAGAACAACAGAAGAATTTATTTTGTGGAGACCTATGCTAGGAGGTAGTTCAACAAAATTTTGAAGAGAAGGTCTGATTGTGATCCCTCTTGCTTTTGATGGGCTAAGTAGCATGGTGCTTAATTGTCTCCTAAACTTATACCCATAAACTAGGTTTCTCTTTGCCTCCGTCATTCAAGACACTAGACTACCAGGGATTTCAGAGCACTAATGAAGCTCTCTTTAACTTTGAAAGAGTACATCCCTCTGTTCGGAGAACAGCTCAGTAGCAAGTGTCTAAGGAATTAATTATCTCTTCTGCCCAAGGGAATTCAGACCTTCGTCTTCCATTTTGGAGAAGACTGTCCTAACAGCGGACCGTGAACTTCTGAAGGAGAAATTTTGATGAAGTTTTCCCACTGCCCCTGAAATAATTTGCTGGGCATCAGGGAAGAATACCACCAAGACTGTAGCCTTGAAGCTTCTCTCTGTCTTGACTGTTTCAGACTATGCTAAGATGTGCTCTCTTTTCTCCTTTACAGGTAGCCTCTCTTGGGGTCACCACATTCACACTGTGTGCCCTCTGCATAGACCGCTTTCGTGCTGCCACCAATGTGCAGATGTACTATGAGATGATTGAAAACTGCACATCGACGACTGCCAAGCTGGCCGTGATCTGGGTGGGAGCGCTGCTCCTGGCGCTGCCGGAGGTTGTGCTGCGCCAGCTCGCCAAGGAAGACCCCGAGTACAGCGGCAGCCCGCCCGCGGAGCGGTGTGTTGTGAAGATCTCCACCGCACTACCCGATACCATCTATGTGTTGGCTCTCACCTATGATGGGGCAAGACTCTGGTGGTACTTTGGCTGCTACTTCTGTTTGCCTACCCTTTTCACTATCACTTGCTCCCTGGTAACAGCAAGGAAAATCAGGAGGGCGGAAAAGGCTTGCACGAGAGGGAACAAGCGGCAGATCCAGCTGGAAAGTCAGATGAATTGCACAGTGGTGGCTTTGACCATTTTATATGGGTTTTGCATCATTCCTGAAAACATCTGCAACATTGTGACTGCCTACATGTCCACGGGCGTTTCGCGGCAGACTATGGATCTCCTCCATCTCATTAGTCAGTTCCTTTTGTTCTTTAAGTCTTGTGTTACCCCCGTTCTCCTGTTCTGCCTCTGCAAACCTTTTAGCCGGGCCTTTATGGAGTGTTGTTGCTGCTGCTGCGATGAGTGCATCCAGAAATCTTCAACGGTGACAAGTGATGACAATGACAACGAATATACCACGGAACTAGAGCTCTCCCCTTTCAGTACCATCCGCCGTGAAATGTCTACTTTTGCCTCTGTAGGGACTCACTGCTAACTGACAGTAGGACTTTTCATTTCCAAGATATTTTCTTTTCTTTCTTTGCCTTTTTTTTTTTTAAACTTCATATTTTCCCTCTTGAAACAAAATGCAAGCAAAAGAAGCCAATTATTGAAAACTCTTCTGGAAACCAGTTTGCATTTAACAGCCATGCTCTGGAAAATAAGTTCTCTTTAGTTATTAAAACGAAAGAAAAGAAGAGCAGGATAGCCAGCACTGAGTTTTAAATCATGATGTTTTGTCTGGTGCTAGCATTTTGTTGTCCATATCAATCCACTTTAATTCCATGATAGTTTTTGATAATCACTGTAAAATGGCTATATAGACATTGTGTTTTCTGCAAGATGTTTAATGTAACAGATGTGGTGGAAAGTATTTGAAAGTAGTTTTAATCCCATTACTGTATACTGTGGTGAGAGAGCTTGGACTTTTGAAAATTTATAAGGTGATATAAAAATAAATGAGATTTTATTCTTTAATACATTGCCAATCCACATTTAACTAGAACACCTAGAAATATTATTAAATTCCTTTAATAAGTAGACAAAAATCTTTGCTTTGCATAAAATAATTTAAATGGCCATATTTAATTTACCATTTGTGTACTTACCCTTGAAGACTGTAATTGAAGTGTTTAAAGAAGATGGTTATAATGATGTTAGATTTACATGAGTGTTTTTTTAATGTACACATTGGAGGTTTAATGCGCCTCACTGAAAATTCCCTTTTTTAACCTGAGATATACAAAACCTGAATTATTTTGTACTTTTAAGAAGAAAGATTTGCTTTCTCACTAAACCGTATCTTGTGTTGTTTCAAAATCAAGTTTCGTTCCACTTTATTATTAGTTTTACATTAAAATTACATCTTTGGTCTCTGTATATTTAACTCCTGCTGCCTTCGGCGAGAGTCCCATTGCAGAGGAAGGCATTATTTTGACAGAGATATTTACTAACAATAAATGTGAGGGACTGAAAAATGTGGAGAGTGAATTCCTTCCTTTTTTTTTAAAGATAAAAAAAACTTGGACACTTGGGGCTTGATCCAGAGACCATTGCAGTCAATGATTTCCATCAATTTCAGAGGGCTTTGGATAAGGCTGGCATCTCGTATTTATCCTGGGATATGTAGCATGAATATTAATCACAGGGGCTCTGTACACTGATTTTAAATTACGTTGCTCTCACAGAGACTGCTATTCACTAGCAACTCACAGTTCTGAAGCTCTATTTGAGAACGATGTCGTGTTTTGCTGATGGTTTCTTGCTGTCCAAGTTATTGAAAGGAAAGTATGTCAACACTGCAGACAGCAGTGTGCCACAGTAAAGTCTGAGGTTGTTACAAGCAGGCTGGAGACTGGAAAATGCCTAGGAGTAGCAATGTAACTTATTTGCCCCACTTCTTGACTAGAGTAGACAGGCTGTTCTTGGCAAGCAAGGAGACTCCTATTTACACTGGGCAGCAGACTGAAGTGTAGACACATGCTAAGGGATTGAATTCATTACAATTAAAGTAGTATTGGCAGAAGCAAAATCATATGCATTTGTCCTTTGAAATTAGCAGTGATTGTAGTTGAGATAGTTTTACTTCTGTCTCTAAAGTCTTCTGTCTCTAAAGTCTTACCCTGTCTCTAAAAAACTTAGTATACCTTCTGCAAATGAGTCTAGTTTTCTTTTATTTGTGGATTCTGGATTTAATATGTTTAATCTTTATATCTGCTCGTATAAGCAGCATTTCATCATTTAAACCTATAACAAGTTCAATCAAAAACAGCTTAATCTGAATAGGTATGCACCTGAGTTCTTTTTTTCTGATTTTTAATCAGAAATTAGGTACTAGTAAAACAATATTCTTTAAGCACAGAACTATAAGTATGTGATTATGTTTAGGATGTGCTTAACTATCTAAGTTTTTAAAATCATTTTGTAAAGTGGTCAGTCATTTCTGAAGATAGGGGATCTGTGCCTTCTTTGCAAGTTCCTAATGGACCTCATGTTGTTTGATTACATTCAACTACTGAAGAGACAAAATGAAAATGAATTCTCCTCACTGTGGTGCCTGTTTTGCTCAAATATATATTCCTCTCTCCACATTTTGATAGAACAATTCTTTTTTAGCTGACACTATTTATAAAGAATGGAAATAAAAATCTCCCCTCCTGTTTCTCTATCATGTTGCCATCTAAATTGTTTCTCTGAGCTACCTTTTCAGTCACAGCATGGACAGTGATTCAAGGACCTGAGAAAGATACAGGAACAGCAGAATGGGAGGAAGCACTTTTTAAAAGAAGGAATAATGAAAATTGCTTGGGGAAGTAAAATTGTGACTTTTTGGTGGTTTAGATGCAAGACCACACTAGGACAGGAAAAGTCCCCGATTTCTTTGACTATTGGGTGCTTCCGGCTTTGCAGTCTGCAATGGCTGTGTGGAAGCTCTGTGAAGGACAACTATTTCCTCTCAGACTAAATGCTTTGTAACTCTGAGTGGTGCAATTTGCTTCTCTTTTGAAATGCTTCCACAATATAAATATGTTCATCCTATAGACATAAATAAATAAATGAATAAGTTATTGGAAAAGGTAGAATTTGAAGATTAATAAGCATATACTTGGAAATGCACCCTTCTGTTATGTGGTGGAGGCTTCTCTAGCTTGTATTCACTGGGAGCTTCTTTGTGTCTAATTTAATCTTGCCTTATTTATTTATTTATTTTCCCTGCTTCTGGAAGAGCATTCTTTACAACTATATCTCACTCCTGTCCTGGACCTCCATAGCAATTGGACACACAAGACATCCTTTTGTTCTAATTTGTTCTCTTAATTGGCTAAACTAATCCTATATTAGCATGTTTGCATGGCTGTAGCAGCTTGATAAAGTGCTTGTGACACAAGTATGGCTTATTAATGCATTTAGGTGGCATGATAAATGATTCCTTTTGTTAAAGACGGGGCACTGTATTGTTTTTCTTCCCACTTTTGGGATTGCTGCTCTGCCTTCTGAAATTTTCTTGAAGTTTGCTTTTCTTATGTTTTGTGTGATGGCTTGTTATAAGCCATTTCTTTTTCTTTTGAAACCAATTCTGTATGATTTTTCTTTTTTAACATGAGGACATTTAATGGATTGATAGATGGAGATTTAGAAATGTTTTTGTCAAGGACTTAATTCTTTTACATATAATAGAGAAACATACAGAAGACGGTGATTAAAAGAAGAGAGCTAGAATAGATTGTGAGAGAGGGGATGTAAACTCCCATCCCATTCCATCCCAGGTATGTAAACTGTTGGTACATTATCGCCTATTTCCCCAGCTCGGATCCCATAAAGACAAAAAACAAACAAACAAACAAAATCTCTGTTTTTAAATCCAGTAGCTCCAATGAGATCGTATTTCGTGACCTCTATCAAACATCTGATCATTATGTAGGTCAAAGGTAACCTACTGAAAAATAATTTCCAGTTAGAAAAAAATCTCTTATTTTACCCTTTCCAAGATAAAATAGATATATCCATCCTTAAATATTTCAGCCTTGGAATAACTTCTTTGTCTTGACCAATCCCTGTTCTATTACTGGGATCCAGATGTAAGCTTCCATAGCTGATGTTCCAGCTGTGGGACTGGATCCTAAAGGCAGTGTAGATGGTCTACACATGTTCTACATCTTTTCATGAGAAACTGCATGATGTTAATCTGTGTGCTGGGACCATGATAGCATGCTTGTGGCATTCCAAGAGTTTAAATGCACTGCTCTAACCCCAGGATTGCATTCAAGCTTCATTTAGTATATATGTTCTAGTCCTACTTCTTCCATGGTGGAAAGCTGTGGGTTTCTTTTGTTTCACCAGGATAGGAAATACCCACCTGAGTCACTTACTTAAGCAAATTGTCAACTAATTATCTAAGAGTAGTCTCAGTAGGTGAGGTTAAGCAGAAGAAGTATTTGTTTCTACATTTCTCACTCATATAGCTCTGCTTTCTTCTCCACCTGTTGATTTCTAAGGGTCTTTCCTCAGACATCTGTGTTTTACAGTCAGTAGAGCAGCATTTCTAGAAGCCGAGCAGGGCAGTACTGAGTAGAAGCCCATGTAGCTGCCTTTGGGAATCCCGTTGCTTCACTGAGATTATACCACATACAGATGAGATGATTATGCATTGCCTCTGTTCTGAAAGGCAGCATATCTGTAAGTTTAGTTACCTTCTAGAAGCAGGTTTACCTATGTTTTTAATGAGAACCTAGACCTAGTGATTTGCCCAGATTACAAATGGATATTGGGATCTAAAGGACATCTTCTGTATCCTACGTTCTTAATGTCTTATCTTTGAGACTATACTTCTTTTTTTGAAGACTAGAGACACAATAGTAGATTTGAGAAATGTAATTAAGAGAAAAGATATACCAAAGATTTTCTGTGATAACTTCTCTCTCCTTTTTTTTTTTTCCCCCCAAGCTTGCTTTACCCACAAAGCTCTGCTAAAGTGAATGTGAAGAATCTGTTAAGCATGAAAAAATTAACAGTCTCCTACCTGCACTTCCTCATGGTTCAGGAACTTTACTTTTTCACTACTCTTTTGCACCTGATATAGCCATTCAAGACCTATGCTTAGCAGATGACAAATTCTACTATTCTTTTCAAAAGCAAGGCGCATTTTGCAATGAAGAGGAAACTGAAGTAAAAAACATGGTCCAAGATGCTCCAAGACATCCAGGCATCCCTACTAAAGAAATCATTCCCCCTGTGGAGGGCTAAACGTTCACCAACATACCAGGAGGAAAGCTGCATCCTGTTTTTAAGCCCTGAAAAACAAGATAACCTACTTGGTCTGTGATGCACATTGGTAATTGCAATGTTTGGTTCTTGGTGGGTATAAATGGAGGCAGAAGCAACCGGGAGCTATCAATATGTGCACCACAGGGCTGAGACTGTGGTCCCTGCCACATTGCCACACGTTCCCTTCACTGAATCACCCGAAGTGCCAGGGGCCATGTGCCTGGAAGGGCTGGAAGTCAGCACTGTCCCAGCTTCTTCCAAGGAGACATAGAAGACTTCTGAGTTTCATCTGAGTTTTGCTTCACAGCTTTTTAC